TATTCAAAAAGATACAGATACTTTAAAAAATTTTTATATTAGTTAATTTAAATAGTATTAAAATTTAATCAGAATTTAGATATTTGAAGATAATTTATGATATATGACGTAGGTCGTCATATAGCAATTTGCTAACAATTAGATTTTATTTGAATAGTTTTATATCCGACTATTTTAAAATAATGGAGGAAGAAAATAGAATAATATGTTTATATTCATCTTCAGATGATTCTCCAACCGAAAAATATAACTATAGATTTAAATTAAGTATTTTAAATGGGAAATTTTTTTAAGTACTTCAACATGATCATAATAAAATTACTGCAGAATTTAAAGAATGCCACAAATCTATAAGTGGTTCTGCAGACTCGTCATCAAATTTTGTTGAGCATCTAAAAGTATAATATATAATTATATAATAAATCACATTTATAATCATATTCATTATCATTTCATATTTCCATATTCATTGTCTGTGCCATACGATAAGTCTTATTGCCACAACTAGTGTTGTTAAACGACTCATTTTGAGCCGATTTTTAAAAATGGCTAACTCAATATTTTAGCCAGAAAAATATTGCCTAAGCCATGAGATTTAGCTAATAGATGTCCAAACCTTTGTTCCTTCTACAAGCAAAATCTTGAGGCTTTGCGTAATATTATTCTGGAGGAAATATTGAGTTGGCCGTTTTTAAAAATCGGCTCAAACCGAACCGTTTAACAACACTAGCCACAACAGATGTCGAGAAAGCTATTAAGGATTCTCCTAACATTTCTAAAATTCATCATCCCGCAATAGCCAAATGTACTAAGTTATGGAATGCTAGTAATAGGCCTAAAACTTCAGAACTTATCAAAGCAGTTTTAAACAATTAGTTACACCTTGCTGCACAAGATGGAATAGTATGTTTGATAGTCTTAGTAGTTTATTAAAATTTAAAGGCGAACTTCCTAAATTATGTCAAAAATTAGAATTTCCAAAATTAAGAGATATTGAAATTCAATATTTAGAAGAATATTGCAATATAATGTCCCCATTGGCTATAGCGAATGACAAAATACAAAGTGAAATCAACTGCTATTATGGAGAATCAGCTCCAATATTAAATGTCGTTAAAAAAAATTACAAATTTAATTCAAACTGTGCAGACCATTAGCTATTGCCGTAGAAAATTCTTTAAATAAAAGATTTAAAAATATATATGATTTTGATAATAACTTTAAAAGCGCATTTTTGGCAACTATGTCTCATCCCTATTTTAAAAATCGTTGGATTGATGGTGAAAAAGAAAAAAAATACTTTCAGGATTTGTTAATACATGAAGAATTATTTTTAAAAATAATATTGAAATTAATATGTCAACAAAATCTTCAATTGATGAAGAAGATGATTACTTTTGTTTTAAAACACATCCAATTCTAATAATTCAATAAATGATATTGAATTAGAGGTCCTAAATTATATGAAAGATGACAGGCGCAGTATAAATATGTTAAATAGTTAAATATATAAAAGAAATATTTATTAAATATAACACAATATTACCCTATTTAGCTTTGCTAATATGGTTAATAGACCAAATCGTCAAAGATTGAACGATAAATTATTTGAAAAATTATAAAAAATAATGTTGATTTATGATGCTGATTTATTATTATTTACTAATTATACAATTATTAAAAAAAATATCGCATTATCTTATATAATAAATTTGTTATTTTCTACAATTTATTTTAAATTTTTTTTTATAAATTTATATTATACATAAAATAATAAAGCTTTATACATTTTGATTTTGACTATTTAATTTTTTAAAAAAGATACAAGTATCTTATATCTTATTGAAATTTTTCTAAAGTATCTTGTATCTTAAATACAAAATTTTATAAAGTATCTGTATCCGAATACAATTTTCTGAAAATTTGCCCAATCCTGTAACTATCCCACATCCAGAAAGTATTCTACAAGCACATTATATTGCGTCTTGTACCATGTTATATTCAAATTGAAACATTTATGTCAGATTATTTGGAAACATAACCTGTGCTTTTTCTGTTCGCAAGATAGGTTATGATGAGGTTCTTAAATTTTTGGGCCTAAATTTATTTTTAGCCAATCCTGTCACTGGCCGAGAATTGAACTTTAGAAGAGATTTAAATGGTAGGTTCTTGCTGTTATCATTATTCGAAATTTTATCAAAATATTTCATAAATATCTAATTGGGTAAATTCTTTTGATCGGAAATATACTCTAAATGGGAACTGTCTTTCACATATCCATGATCTAACTGAACCTGCAATAACAGAACCTAAAAATTGAGGAAATTGCAGGCCAGAAATTTTATTTTTTGCATTTTCCCCTCCTGTTCTAACTTTAACACATTGATTAAGATAGACTCTAAATCCCGGTTCCTACCTACAGCACTACCTGTTGCACTATTCTTATAAAATATAATTTTAAAAATAAGTATAACCTTAAGTTTAATACAGTGTCGAAATTGATTCTCAGCTCGGGAATCATAATATAAATTTATAACGATCGTTTTTCTATTTTTTTTTATCTCATTTAATAATCCTATCTTTAGCCTTCACTTTATTGTTTTGCAATAAAAGCTTCGCTATAATAATCGTGATATAAGTTTCGTTATATTTTCCATTAATTATGTATACATATTAATAATTTTCTATACTTTTTAGGGTACCAGCGATAGTCATAGCCTTTTTTAAGCTAAAAGGCGCTTCTATATTATTGAAAATGCCTTCTTTTTTAACCATGATCCTAATTAAAATTATTTTATCTATAATAATATGAATATTTATTATAATATAATAAAGCTCCTATAAAATCACTTATAATAAAAACTGAATTGTTAAAAAAATCCTTAAACACTCAAAATAGCAAAATTATCATTTATGCTCAGATAAAAAACTGAATTGCTCATAAGAAATAATAATACTCAGATATAAAACTGAAAAACTAATTAAAAAATGAATCACTCAGAATAATAAATGAAACGCTCAGAATTAGCGTATTATTTGCTAAGAAATCTTAGAGTAATTATTAGGTATATAAATTTTCTGGGAAATATTGATTTTTTCTCAGGTTTTATTGAAAATAATCGTCGTTTGAAGATGAGAATGATTTCAGACCAGAATTTGAACATATAGAATCTAGGTCATTTGCCTCGAAACATTTAAATCTAGGTATTCAGAAAATCGATTTATAACATCCAATTCTTAAGCAAGTTCATTGTCTTACAAATTAAATCGCATATTATCTTGGGTCAATGAGAATGTATAATCTGGCAACAAAAATATTTCCGGTTCTATAATTTTTTTGGAAAGAACTCCCTGATATGAATAAATGCTTGAGGAACAGATAATTGGATTTATCCGCTTACACTACTCTATTCGTAAGGAAATGGTCTTATAAAATTGTATAGTAGTACAAGATCATTTAAAAACCTTCATTATCAAGAAGTGTAAGTCTCTTATTTTTATCAATAAAAATATCAAGTATTGCCATTTTTTCAAAATATCAAGTATTTCCATTTTTTCAAAATATCATTTTTTAACTGGCTAATTTTAGATATTTTATAATACTTTGGGTTTTCAATGGTAGTCTACTTTCCAAAGAGGTATTCTAGACTCTTCAGTTTTTAATTTCTCTCTTAATTTATACCATTACTAATTAAGACCCATAGGGAAACCCCATGTCATGATTTTATAATCTAAACCCTGCTTCAAAAAATATGAATAATATTTAACAATTCCGTCAATAAATAATTCTCCTGAATTTTTGAAATGCTAGAAAAAGTTGTCACCCCCTTCCACCACCTAACCTATAAAGAATGTGATTAACAGATAAATTAATGGTTTGAGATGTATTTCTTTTCCAAAATATTTTGTTAAACATAAAAAATTTAAATTTGACTCCATCCCTCCCTAATTATTTGTATAATGCGGATGATTAACAAACAGTAGAAATTTTTTTAACTATGGAGATATGTCAAAATTTTAACCCTCCCCACCGACTTACTTAGCCATAGAGTTATGAGTACAATGTAAACAGATCTTTTTTATTAGCTTTTTTTGATAGAATTGTCAGAAAGATTTTTTTTCTTCCCGCTAAAGAAATAATCCTGTGAAAAAAACTAGACCGAAACTGCTGAAGGAACGTATGGATAAAAAATTGGGAAAAATCTTTATAAAAAAAAATTAATTAAAAATATCTTGTAAATAAAGTGGAGAAAATATTTTTAGAAATTTTTTTTATGACAAATAGTTTTTTAAGAATGGTTTTTTTACTATATAACTACTAAAAATTTTCTTTTAAAAATTGAGATAATTAATTTTCTTTCTTGATTGAATACAGTCTTCACTATATTTTAAAGATAGTATGTTTTTATTGTATGTTTTATATCTTTTTCAGTTTTTTCCCTTGATATTTATTTTCCTCAGTTTTTTATTCCTATTTTTTTCCCTCGGCTTTTTACCGCAGTTTTTTCAGTCGAATTCTTTTCCTATGATTTTCTCTCGCTATGGCTTTAGATCCGAGGATTTAGAATGATTATTCATATAAATGATTTGTTTATTAGATTTCATCACCCTTGTCTTTAGAAAAAGTTTTTAACCCCCCCCTTAACATGAGCTTAGAATCTAGATATAATATTAATTAAAATAACACTCAAATTTTTTTTTATTAGTTTTTACCCCCCCCCCCCCCCCCCTCTTTCCATGATCTAGATCCCAGGATCTATGTTATATAAAAGTTACCAGTTAAAATAAAAAAAACATTTATAACAGCGAATTTCTGAGCGATTTAGTATTTCTTAAAATTAATAAAGATATTCTGAGAAAACAATTCAAATTTTTGCTTAACAAAATCATCTTAGATTTTTGTAAAAATAGCAAAATTCTTAGCTTTCAATATTTTTGAATTCTAAGCGATTATGTTTTTATTCTGAATGAATTGATATAAGTAATATTTTATTGTTAAGGTATCATTGATCCTGAAGTGGAAATTGGAAATCATTGTGTGATTGGTGCGCGATGTCATATAAGGGGACCTATGATTATACCAAATAATACTATCATATATGGAAATCCCCCCAAAAGTTATAGACACAATGATGATATTCAAGTTATATACTATATAGACTAAAGAACATCTATTAAAATATACTTAATTTTATGACTAATATATCTATCTTGTTATATTACATTTTTGAATTTAGTTATTAAATATTTACGATTAATTTTTTTAGTTTGATATTAAAATTAGCTTTTTTCATATTCTTACACAAACCGAACCCATAAATAGCAATAGTTTAGCAATAGCGATTTTTAATTTTTTTAAACTGTTTCCTTTATTCCTTATTTAATTTAATGATTATACCCCAAATTCTAAAAAATGTTTTCTATCAAAAAAATATAAAAAGCATTTGGCCAAATCACGAAAATGTAAAAAAAATAATATTATTGATAAACTTCAAGTTTCTGAGCGAAGAATGCAATTAGATAATTGAGCATCTTTAATTAATAAATATCATTAAATTGCGTTATATAATATTTACTTAAATTTTTTTTTTAAATTTAAAAATATATTTGTAAGTTTTTTAAAAAATATATAAACTTATATATATTTTATATAACAATAGTTACAACATTAAACTGCAAATTTGATGATGATTCTAAATATGTATAAATTTAAAAAATATTTTTAATTAATTAAAAAAAATTTTTTTAAAGTAAATCCTAATTATATCTTTGCTTAGAAACTGGAAGTTTTTATCAACAATATAATTTTTTTTATATTTTCGGGACTTTACCTAAACATCATTTGGGGCAACACGAGTAATTCTTTTTAAAAGTATTTGTATTCCTTTCATATTAGACAATAAATTTTTTGCAATAACTGCCCTTATACAGCAACCGATTATGGCCATACTTTTTATTCTTTCCTTGACCAATAAAACCTAATCTATAAGGTTAAATCGAAAAGAAGAACAAATAATTATTATGATAAATCAAATATACTTTTTACATTTTGTAATTTAGTTATTATATAATATTTAATAAATTATATTTATAGCCTCAAATTCTCCAAATTGACTTATTGTCAAAAGTTTTACCAAAATACCACAATATAATTCCATCTAATTTATAATACATTAATATATAAATAAATGTATCTAATCATATTGTGAATTTAAAACAAAATTCATTTGTACAAACAATAAAATATTAATTGATCAATTCGGAATTAAAGCTACAATAGTTTAAGGATTTAATTATATGTATATCTTCAGGTTTACTAACCATAGCATTAATTTTATCTAATGCTATATCAACCCCAATTGCAACCGCAAATATTTCTACACCTGTGTTGATTTATGTTTGAATATATATATATGCACTTACATACTAAATTATAGTTTATCTTAAAAAAATCGATATTATCATTTCATAAATAATTGCTATGGATAAAATGATAATACTAATCTATTGAAATCAAATTAGTAAATATGCTCCTATTTCAGATTATTAAGGGTTCATATTAGATAAGTTTCATTATATATATACAACGAACGTATTTTTCTACCCATTTGATCCGAAAAATTAGCTAAAATTTTTTTCATAAATATCTTGCCGGTTTAATATATATTTCCCATTTAAATTTTTTAATTATAATTTTTATATTAGAAATTGGGCCATATTTTCCTAATGAATAATTTTTTAAAATTATAAAATTTTTGTGCAACGATTTTTTTTTAAAATATATCTTGAAAGATTTTTTTTATGCATGAAAATTACAAAAGATTCATTTTTAAGTAAATTTAGAACAAAAATTTATTTAAAAATAAATCTTTTTTTTGCTCAATAATTTTTTAAAGATTATTTTAAAACTCCTTTTAAATTGTCAAAAAATATATTTTTTATAAAAAAAATTTTTCCAGCACTCTGGGACCATTGTTAGCCTATTCTAAAATCGGAGAATTTATTTTAATTTTATAATTTTTTCCAGCGATCATTGTTAGCCTATTCCAAAAGCGTAGAATTTATTTTAATTTTATAATTTTTTTTATTTTATCATTAATTTATAATATATTATAAAGATAATTTTTAAATTTAGGTCAGCTTAGAACATACCTTTTCTTCCTGAAAATACTTATTGTCAGGTTTGTGCGCAAATTTTAAAAAATATTCTGGAACAACATAATTGAATAAAACATTTAAAATATGAAATAATTTTTAAATTTTGCTAATTTATTCTTAGAGTAGAAATAAATGGGAATTTTAAATTTTTTGTTGTTTGAGGGTTCACATCCCTGTACATTAGATGAATAATGACTGATATATCGTTTAAAATTTGAGTCCGTATGAGGATCATTATATATTCATTTACTGGTCATGTTTTCATTTGAAAATTTACTAAATTTAAAATAACGAAATTTTAAAAATTAAAGCCGGACTTCATAAAAAAAAAATCCGGTCTGGATCAAAAAATAAATTAAAAAATCGTCTTTGAAAATAAATATTTTTAATAATCCAATGTGTAAATCGACTTTCTTATAACCTATAAATTCAAATCCTTCTGACAAATATTTCTATAAAGCAACTAAAGATGAACACTTAAGATAAAATGATATTTATTTTTACTAAATATGACCTAAATTATTTATTTAACATACCCATATTTCTCAGTAAACGTGCTTGTCTACTTGCGGTATAAGGCTTCGACTTGCCATCGGTCATCACAATTATGACTTTGTCTGCCCCACTTCTTCCTTTTAAAATAAAGTGTTGTCTAGCCAAAGCCAGGCCTCTATCGATTCTTGTTCCACCACCTAAAAACAAACGTTAATATGTTTATTTATATACTCAATAAACCTTGATATAACATTTTTCTTAGTCCTTCTTTGACCTCTTCGAAAGATTTATATTTATCGAAACCAAATTCAAACCTTGTTAACGAAGAACTTGAAAATTTGAGTACAGCTAATCTTGTGCCTTCTGAGGCTATTTTATTTTGGCTATCAATTATTTCAGCTGCGTTCTATAAAAATTACAATTTTAATTTACAAAATATTATATTATTTATAACTTGCATAGCTTCGATTCCACATTCAAAAATACTTCGACCGATACTACTACTTGCGTCGACCTAAAAAATTGTATCTATGCGTTTTTTTGCCTTATTTTTATTTACAAATATTTTTCATCTTCATCTTTCAAGCTTAATCTTGATTTCGTTGGTACATTAGAGATCATATTTAAATTTTTTTTTACATGTGTTCTTTTATTGTCGCTTAGTGAGGTTTGACATTGGCATTATGAAATATTGGATATGAATCTAGTTAGAAAAAGATCATATTTATTAGAAAAATTTGAATAATAAATATTATTTCTTTTACCTATATGAAATTTGTTATTTGATATTTGAAGGCTCATATTGAATATATGATAGTCTGTAAAATTGCTATCATTTTTTTCAATAGCACTTTTCTGATTGAATGAAAAAATATTCTCAGTAATTGTTTTAATCAAATGAATATTAATAACTATAAACATTAGCATTAAATTTGCTCTAGAGATCATTTTCGAATTTAATTTTATTATCAAATCTAAATAAAATTATAGTTTAATTTTAAATACAAAATTATCATTTTATATTATTTCCAGGGTCAAGGTTTTATAGTTATATAATATCCATAATTTTGATTGACCTTATGCATAAAACTACAAATAATATTATCAATTCCCTTTCGAACTTAAAAAAAAATTCATTCATTATCCATAATATAATAACAATTATCTATAATTGTTCAAAATTTTTCATGACATTGTTTAAAATTTCTTCCCTCAAAAAGGGCAAAGTTTGGTATAACATATTTTTATACTATAAAAATTATATATTTTTTTAATAATTGTAAAAATTAAATTAGTATTGATATATATATCGATTGCTATTATAAATAAATTTAGTGTTTTTTCCAGCAATATGTTATTATTTGATCGCGTTTTTTTAAATTTTAGTATATGATTTTACTGGAAATGTATTCTATCATGTTTGGAATACCTACCTATGAATTTCGCACAATTTTGTCAGGAACTTTGAACTTAATATAATTTATATTTGTTTTTCCATATATTTTTTATATAAATTATAAATAAATTGAAGGTTAATAGCAAAATTGTCTGCAATTCATAGGAAAGGTATTCTGAACATGGTGGAATAGATTTCCGGGAAAATTAGTTTTTTAAATTTAAAAAACGCGTTCAAAAAATGATTTAAATTTAAAAAATAGTACATTGCCAAAAAATACATTGCCGCTAACATATATACCTACATTTTCCTATTGGTAACTAAAATTGAATTTAAAAAACTCCAAAAAAGAAAAGTGAAATGCTTTTAAGGGGAAAAGTGGAGGAGATCAAAAAAAAGAAAGTAAGACAATAAAATTTTGATTTAATGACTTGGATTGCTAGTAGGACTGGAAACCAATATTAAAATCCCAAGACAAACGAAATATTTTAGTGGTATTAGGTCTAAAATATTGGTATTTTTTAAACAATATTTTTTATTTCTTGTATAATGATTGATTAAGTGTAGAAATAGTGATTTAAAAAACCCATAATTTGTAGTTTTAGATAAACATAAGAAAAAAATCATTACACTTAAAACAGGACTGAGAACCAACTCTCCAAATCTTACTGAATCCAATTTCTTTTTTTAAAGTAGGAATTTATGAAGTTATGGAAATATAAAAAATTTTGATTTAATAATAAATTATGTATCAACAAACCTAACATAGCCACTCTAAAAAATAAACGCATTTATTTTGAAACCTTATTCATAAAAATATAGAAAAATGGGTAAACTAAAATATATAACTATCTATAAAATACAGTGCAAAAGATTAATATAAATAATATAAGGAATTATATGTCTTTAAGAAGGATCCTACATGCGTATAATTTTTAGGCACAGGCAAGCTTGGATGATATGTTCATCTAGTGAACAACGTTGGTCCAATATAACATACTCTTTCTAAGAACGCTCTTTTAGAGCAAGTTGGAATTGCGGGATAATATGGCAATTTTCGATAATATTGGATATCTTTTTTGATTTAATTTTCACTTTTATATCATTAGAAATTATGCCTTCGTCCATATACTCTACGCTATTATATCATGACTGTTTAACTTGATATATTTTATCATAAAAAGACAGTATCTTAGATTTATTTTATGCTTCATTTTCATGATTAATTCTTCCGTTAGATATTCTAAAAGGGTGTTTAATAAGTGTGATATTTTAAAGCGCTTGTCAATCATTGTCGATATTATATACACATGTTTATTAAAATTAATTTATCAAGTTTAGCTAAGGCAGCTAAAGAAGCCCGTTATAAAATAGAATTAGGAGTATTATTGTTGCAACTGAACTTGTTCAAAAATGCTGGAATGTAAAGGAATCATAGTTGAAACTTATGGAATGTTTGCACATGAGACCATCTCTGTGCGAAATTATATAGTTTCAGAAATTCTCGATAGGATTTGAGAAATATCGCCCTTTTAAGCTTTTGGTATGTTTCAACATATCCAAAATTGGGAGAGGAATGTTTAAAGTTGGATTTTTTTCAAGAAATATTTTTTCGGGCTTTTTAAATTTAGATGTCAGAATTTTTTTTATGTTTCATTTGCCCTAGGGGGCCATAACAGCCAAACGAACATCGCAAAAGCATTTGCACACATTTAAATTAAAATTCTCTTTTTGATTTAAAAATGTTATAAATATTATTAGAAATATGTGCTGATTTTATCACAGTACAAAAAATAAGCTTTTGCAATAAAGAAATATTGGATGTAATAGCGGTAAATTTTTAGAAAGTAAAAAAATATACCATAATATAATGATCAATAAACAACCCAAATAATTATTATTTATCTATAATATTAGTATTCTTTTATATTGTATTTAGACAATATATCAAACCAATATATTTAGGTAATTGGTATTGTAAACCAAGAATATATTGTAATGGTCTCACCCCTAATTGCTATCTTTACGAAGGTAGATTTATTCTTTCGGGGCTTCTATATTAATCTATCCAGCTTTTTATTAGGACTTGGGCTTGAGGTCAAAAGTTGAGAATGTGGTGATAATCACAGGAATTAAGTGTTATTAAACGGCTCTATTTTAGCCGATTTTAAAAAACGGATAACTCGATATTTTAGTCAGAAAAAATATTGCACAAGCCTCGAGGCTTCGCTAATAGTATATTAACCGTTGTGATATCTGAGAAAAATCGTCAGTCTTACGTAATATTTTTCTGGCTAAAATATTGAGTTAGCCGTTTTTAAAAATCGGATGAAATCGAGCCGTAGAATTAAGTAATAATGTATTTTTCACATTTCAATCTTCCTACCACTATTAGATCTTTGTTTAAATTTATCAAAGCCATTGGTCGATGTAAGAAAAATCCCAAGACATTAAGTTGTCATCTTCCCAAAAAATCTAGTGCTATCAGGTCTTCTATTATCTGGGAACATTTCGATTCCTTTGTAAAAAATATCTCCTAGTAGAGTTTAAAGCCCGCTTTATAATCAAGTTGCATAAGCGCTCCGAGCTCGCCCGCAGATTCTGATATATTGGGCAATGTCTACACAAATCGGCTTGTTTGTGACATCTTGCTGCTTTATGTGACATGATTGAGTTAATATTTAAATAATAGCTAGTGTATAGCCGAACTCCTAGTCATTAAGTTTCAAGCCAAGTTTTTTTTTGATAAGATTATCTCCAAAAATTAATCCTGAATCCTTATTCCAAACAGAAGAATGATCGACAGATGTAGTTTGATGTAAAGATAATAAACGGTACTTGCCATGTTAGGCGCATCCAGACTCTGCTTTGTTGAATTGGGAAGAAAAGTGCAAGATGCATTTATGTTTGTCTAGCAAATGGTCCAAAGATGTTTTAGAGATGCGGAAGCTCCTTTTTTTTAATTAAGAAATAAGCCTTGTTTGATGAAAAGGAATATTATCAAAGTGTTTGAAGTTAAATAAAACTTTATTAAAAAATGTTGGATAGTCCTTCACCACCGATCTTATTTCTTAAAAATGATCATTTTGCACGTCCGATAGGGTGTTTGTTTTTCAATTTAGAATCCGATTAAATTATATTATAACATGTAAGAAAAAGAAAAGTTCGAATCCACTATAATAACGGAACAAATAAAGATATGAGATTAAATAATAATAGAAACATGCAACCAAAAATAAGGAATTCAAAGTCTTTATCCAACGAAGGAACAAAAATATTAATAGATGACTTGTGAAGGAATAGAAGATATGTTATATCTCATATATCATAATTGTAATAAGATATTATTTGAATTTTATATATCCTATATAGAATAAGATCTTAATTGAATATTTGTTTGATTAAGCTTAAAATGAATTAAATAATTATCTTATAGTTTACAATGTATGTATAGCCAACATTTTGTAATAAAGTTTACCATTGACCATATAAGTTATGCTGTTTTAAGATATAAATATAAATAAATAGTGGTGTATCACCTGATGCTATTTTGTTACAAAGTAAAGTGAGGGATGTGAGTAAATGTGTCTGGTCATTAATGACTGTTAGATCTTCCAAAAATATGGGTTTTATAACTTCTAAACCGTGGGCTACATCTTTTGAAATCACTTTTCTTAGGTATTTCTGGGAGAACTCATTGGTGGTGTTGTTAAATTGCTGGGTGGCTTCGCCGAAAACCCAGTAATGTTTGAACTGAAAAAAACGACCTCAAACTCTAGCCAACCCATTTAACAATAGATAAGACCCAATTAGAAAATTAAACTAGTTAAATTTATCCAGGTTTAGAGTTTTTGATATTATAAAGAGGTTTTAAATTCATTGGGTCTAGTAATAAATTGGTACTGCCATTATATGTTATCCACGAGGAAAAAGAGAATTTTTTTTAAACTTTGTATTAAGTCTAGTTAAAAGTTTTGATACTAAAAAGAAGTTCTAAAACCATTGAGCCTAGTAATAAATTAGAACTGACATTTTATTCTACGTAAAAAATAAATTATAAAAAATTTGTTTTAAGCCTAGTTAAAGTTTTGATACTAAAAATATATTCTAAAACCTCTGGGTCTAGTAATAAATTAGCACTGCTATTATATTTTATTCTACGAGGAAAAAATAAATATGAA